TATATATATATATATATATATATATGTGCATATTTGTCTGATGGTTTCCTTAAAATAAATTATTAGAAATGAAATTACTAAACCAAAAGGCATGCAGCCCACCAACATCTCCTAACATCTCCTTTTTAGGTCTTTTATTCATCTTACTAATTTATCCTCCAAAAAGTTTATTCCAATGTACGCTCCTTTTTATGTATGTATCATTCAAAAAATATTTAGTGTCCACTTTGTGCTAGGCACAATGGACACAGGAAACAATCATTAAAACAAAACAGACAGCCCCTGCCCTCCTAGAGCTTATGATCCAAGGAAGAGACTGAGACCCACACCTATACCATCATAACTCTTCGTTATAAGCTGATGTAAGCTAAGAAGGAAAAGTACAAAATCATGGAAATGTGAGAAGAGCCTGACAGATCAGAAGGGTCTGGAAGAGCTGCCATGAGAAGGAATGGTTGTGGGCTGGGGGCTAACGTTTTCTGTTGTCAATCAGGTGAAAACAGGTTGTGGACAGCCTTGGGAAACACTCTAAGCAAAGAGAAAGGCACAGAGTCTCTGAGAGGGGAGAACACAACCCATCCGAAAACACGTGAGGAGCTCACTGTGGCTGCAGGATCGAGGCAGTGGAGAGAGTAAGGCAGGGCCAGGCCACACCAGCCCTCCACAGCTGCCTGGCCCTCCGGCAAGTTCCTCACTGGCCAGACCAATACCTATCAGTCACGTAGAACAGTCTGTTGCAGTTAGAGCTAAAAGAACTAACCACGGAGTATGACACAATAAACTGTAAATCATAAAACAGACATGAACTTTTTAGTTCCCCTGCAAAAGGAAAGCACTTTCAATCTCTTCCAGAATTTTTAAGCATACAATGTTATGTCATGCACTTTAAACAATATAATAGAGTAAATACACTGGTTTAATATCAGCTGTATAAAAAATCTACATGCTCACATAGAGTAAAACACATAAAAAATTCTTTGACTTTAATATACAGTATGCTAAGGTTGAGTTCATTAAAAAGTATTTCAAGTTTGCTTCATTTTCATATTTTATTTAACCCCTCAAAAAAACCACACGTCAAAGTCCTACTCTGGAGAAAAAGCTACTTTCAAAATCTTTACATGACTGTAATTAGTCAAGTTTTCTTTATTCCAACTTGAGTTTTCTTGTCATAATCATCTACATTAATAAAAACTAAACTCGTTTTTCTAATATTTTCTAAAAATCAAGTTAGGAGACATCAAGTATTCCTTTTGTGGTGTTTTTATTTATCCATGTAAACAAGAAATTACCATTTGAAGGACAATTTTTAGTGATTCATTAAACTATAAGAAAAAACTGTACAGAAAGTTTGTGATACAAAATTTTGTCCCTAAGGGATTAGGGTCCACAGCAACAGAGAGAAGAAACTCAGAAGGGTCCCTGCTCAGTCACCTAGTAGCTACAGAGAACAGGGCACGATGTGCTAGCCACGAACACAAAAAGACTTCATAAAGACATTGTCACATGTTTCTGAGCACTGTTCCCTATCACAAAGAATGCCTATGACAATGCCATTGTTTATTCTGTATATTACAGCCTTTCTGCCCCGCTAAAGTTTTGGAGGTTTTTTCTGCTATAAGTTAAAGAAAAGGTCACATCCCCAATATATACTTAGTGGAAATGATTGTAACAGAAGATCCAATGTTTCCATTTTTGGCTGTCCTTCCAAAAGTTCACCTGAATGGTCCAGAACAAGCTTCTAAATCTTTCATTGTTGATCAGCCCACTAAAAGTCGAATTCTGGCTGGGCTCAGTGGCTCAGCCTATAATCTCAGCACTTTGGGAGGTTGAGGTGAGTGAACTGCCTGAGCCTGCAGGTTTGAGACCAGCCTGGGCAACTTGGCGAGACTTCATCTCTACAATAAAATTAAAAATAGCCGGGTGTGGTAGCGTGTGTCTGTAGTTCCAGCTACTCGGAAGGCTGAGGCGGAAGGATCACCGGAGCCCAGTAGTAGGTCGATGGTAGGGTGGCTGTGAGCATGTGTGCCACTGCACTCCAGCCTGGGCAAAGGAGTGAGACTCCAACTCAACAAAAAAAAAAAAAGTCAAATTCTTCAGCAACGCACAGTACAAAAAGGCAGGGGCTATAACAGTTTGATATAGGTGTATTTGAAATACAAATGTAACTTTCCAGTCCACGATATTTTTTCCTAAAGGAATTTTAAAAACTGTCTAAAATGTATTCATGATGATATGATGATTCTTTTCTAATGACTAAACTCTAAATTTTAAAAAATGGAGGTTTTCAAACCAATGATGTGTACAGGCCATTCTCATGGCACAGTCATTCAAACTTCTCACCTGCAAAACATAATGGAATAAAGTATCAAAAAGAGGAAGGAAAAAACCATGAAGTTCTAACTGGCTTACAAAATGAAGTCATAAGCATGACAAGAAATTAGCATAAAACACTCAAAAATCAGACATTTTTCTTGATTTTTTTTTTTTACTCTTCTTGATTGCAAAAGAAACAGAATAGATGTTGAAAATATGGAAAAGCAAAAAAAAAAAGGGAATTGTTAATATTTTGGGATTTGTTCTTTAAGTATTTTTTCTATTATTATAAGTAATTGGGTTTAAGACATGCACACCCAGTAGCATACTTTTCCTTGAATAAAATTAGGATATATTTGCATTTTAATCTATTGTTTACTTAAAGTATGGCATGTTAAGTATCTGTGACATTAAAAATCTATCTAGGCTGGAAGGCTGAGGCGAGTGGACTACCTGAGCCCGTGGGTTCAAGACCAGCCTGGGCAACTGGGCAAGATCTCGCTTCTACAATAAATAAAAAATTAGCTGGGCTTGGTAGTGTGTGCCTGAAGTTCTGGCTACTTGGAAGGCTGAGGCGGAAGGATCGCCGGAGCCCAGCAGGTCAAAGCTGGGATGGCCATGAGTATGCCACTGCACTTCAGTCTGGGTGACAGAGTGAGACTCTAACTCAAAAAAAAAAAAATTCTTCTAAAACATGATTTTAACAACATATCGTATGGATGTGTCATAATATATTTAACCATTTTTCATACTATGCAACATTTATGTTGTTTCTAATTTTTTAACGTAACAAACAAGACTGCCATAAAGATATCCAAAACTTATAATACTTCTGGTTACTTTCTTAAGATGTATTTCTAGAAGTAGAATTACTATGCCAAAAGTGAATTTAATATGATCAAAATCACCTCCCAACCCCAAAAACAGCCTATTCTATCAGACTTTAACCTTTTCAAAAGTCACAAAACTCACAATCACATGGAATATACATTTACAAATAAATTTTTTAAATCATAAAAAATTCAGTATCTAAAAATGTATAAAAAACAGGAAACATAATCATTATTGTTTTAGCCTATACGTATAGAAAAAATTAATTTAACTTAAACCCCACATTATATCTTTAATCTGTTCCAAATGAGTCAGAGAACACAGTGATGTACCAAGAGAAGATGAAAAAGTATCTCAACTACTTAAAATAAAGAAATTATCAGAGAATATAAGGATAAGCCCATAGGAACTTAAGACAAAGACTTTTTCTCCAATAAACTGCAAGTACTACATATCTCTCTCTCTCAAGACAACTTAAGCCCAAATTAATTTTTGTCTTTCATTTTAAGCCTTAAGATCCATCTTTTAAAATTTCTTGAACTAAACAAGAGCTTTGTGATAACAGTTCCAGACATAAACATTAGCTCTCAAAACTCAAGAAAAAGACTAATCTCTTAAAAGTTCAAAGCAAAAACCCTGAAATAAATGCTAATATTTAAAATTTTCAAAATAAAGGCAACGTTTCTCCCTTTTCTTACTCAGTATGAGAAAGCTTCATTTCTTCCCTTTGTCTCGCAGAATAATTTAGGTTCCCACCTAAAACACAAATAAACATAGAATCTTTTAAATATACATATTAAATATAAGTAAAATTTAACTGTACACTTGCATGCAATTATCTCATATTTGTATTTGCCTACATGTACATATTATTTTAAGTAACAGAAAAATCTATGGAAGAGAGAAAAAAATAATTTACCTACTGGAACCCTCCCAAGAGAAAAAAATGGAATCTTTATGTAATACAAATAATCATTCCTTAATTTTAGCTTTTTTTTTAAAGTTTGAATTTATGTATTACTTCAGGTTTTGTTAATTAGGACATTATATTAATATTCAATAACAGACAATTAAGAGAAATTAAAGAAATAAGCTAAAATTATTTAAACAGCTGTGTATTACATTCTGCTAATTATATAACACCCTTTAAAAGTAAGCAGTTAGAAAAATTAACAAGGGCAACATCAAAATCTTATAAAGCAGGAGTTCCAACCCCCTGGCCACAGACTGGTACCGGTCCATGGCCTGTTAAAAACCCGGGCCCACACAGGAGGTGAGCCACAGGCAAGCGGAGCTCCGTATCCTGCCAGATCAGCGGCCATAGATTCTCATAGGAGCCAAACCTATCTGTGAACTGCACATGCCAGGGATCTAGGTTGCGTGCTCCTTATGAGAATCTAATGCCTGCTGACCCCCTCTCCTCACCACCACCCCTTCTGTAGAAAAACTATCTTCCATGAAACTGGTTCCTGATGCCAAAAAGGTTGAGGATCACTGTTAAAAAGAACAAAAAAAGCACTAGTGCATATAAAATGAATTAGAAAAAAAAAAAACAATCTGTAATTTCTAATTCTAAACCAACAATTTCAACCTGAAAATGTAAATTATAGTAAAGTCAACCAAGCATGGTGGCTCACACCTGTAATTGCAACACTTTGGGAGGTTTGAGACCAGCCTGGGCAACATAGTGAGACATCATCTCTACAAAAAAATCAAAACTTAGCTGGGTATGGTGGCACACACATGCAGTCCCAGTTACTCAGGAGGCTGAGGCGGGAGGATCACCTGAACCCAGGGGTCAAGGCTGCAGTGAGCTGTGATCATGCCACTGCATACCAGCCTGGGTGACAGAGTAAGACACCGACTAAATAAATAAATAACAAATAAGATTTTATATTATAAAACCAGTCTCCTTAGAAGATGATGAAAGACATGATAGCAATTTTAATAAATTGAAGGTCCAGAATACATAATTGTATATTACATAATCAAATGTGTTTTCATCACTATAAACAGAAAGTCATTAACACATGAACTAAAGAACTGGCTCCCAAGGAGGCTGACAATCCAGTGACCCCACAAGATAATCAGCTCTGGTTTGAGAGAAAATATCAGAACTTATGCTTACCTTGAGCACGATTCACCAAATAGAGTAAGACCACAGATAAAAGTGACACTAGGAGTGAAAAAACAAAGGGCTCTTAAAACTATGTATTTCTTCTCAATGATTCCTATGCAACCATAATTACAAAGTAAAGCTTGGACACAGTCAAATTGGCATTTAAAAATAAAAATATTATTCAGGCTATTTTAACTTCAAAAAACACTAAAACTAAGTTATATGTTATTTTCTCCAAGGGTTACTCAGCCCAGGGATGGCAGGGCCAGAAACAGAGAAGCTGGAGCCCCTACATGAGCAGGACTGACCCACCCATGAACCATCCACGCCCCTCCCTCCTCTCCCTTTGTCAGTGTTGGTCCTTCTCAGCATTTCTCAAAAACCCCTGCCAGCCCCAGACTATTATTATCTTAGAGAAAACCAAGCAGAAGTTGTCCTTTGGAGGATTTTAAGTCTGAAGATACCATGTTCACTTTACAAATTTAATAACCAAACAACATTAAAACATGGTCATTACCAGTCTAGGCAATATAGTGAGAACCTGACTCTACAAAAACACTAAAAAAAAATTAGCCAGGTATGGTAGCACATGCCTACAGTCCCAGCTATTCAGGAGGCTAAGGTAGAAGGTTCACCTGAGATCAAGAGGTTGAGACTGCAGTGAATAGTAATTGTGCCACTGCACTCCAGCCTGGGCGGCAGACTGAGACCCTGACTCAAAAAAGAAAAAAGAAAAAACCCCCACATGGTCATTAGACTCCTAGAAGCCCACAGCCAGTAAAGACCTCCAAAGTCAAGTATGTAGCTTTTTCTCTTAACAAGTGAAGAACACCTGTTTAATTTACTTTAAAATAATATGGCAACAAAAACATTTTTAAATGGCATGGTATTTGGTTTGAGACACAAATATATGTTTAACTGTGGACTGGAGTTTAACCACACATGGCAGCATCAAAAATAGACCAAAAACACTTCATGACCTAATATCTGAAATTTGTATATGAACCACTTTCTAAAAATAGTTCATTTTTAAAGTCGGGTGTGTTTGTTTCTAAAATTATAAGATAATAAAAGACATTCAAGGCTACTCATAAGCAAGTGTCTGCAAATACACTTCAAGTATAGGCAGTCTTTATTCCCTGTAAATGAAAACTAAGTTTGATAAAATCATCACTGTAGTTTGTCATTTTAAACACATATTATTGAAGAATAAGAGATATCTTGATGTGTTATAGGAGGATTTTTTTTTTTCAGACAAGCACAATATATGTGTATGGTAAAGATTATCTATAGAAAAATACTGATTTATCTTTATAGCTTATCAACAGTTTCCTAGTGCTTTCTATTTTGGACCAATGAACCAACAATTTAAAAATAAAAGCAATAAAATAAAAGCAATTTAAACTGTCTAATAAACTATGAGCACTCACACCAGTGTTTACACATTCACACTAGGGACATTCAGTATTCTTCAAATTGCTCCACTTTAAAAGGGGAAAATTTTTTTTTAAGTAGATAGTTAAAACAGAATATGAGCCGATTCTACTGCTGCCTTAAGGACAGGAATCTCCTGAAAAATTCTGTAAATCTTCAGAGAGCTAGAACATCACCAGCTGTGAAACTAATACACAAGCTAAAGGCAAATCTGAGACATACATCTTAGGGATCTGGTTTCAGAAGAAGGGACAGAGAATAACAAAAACTTAAAAGTAAAAAATGAGAACATTCTGCTGCATTTTAGAAGAAACTAAATGCTGCCACATGGAATACTCACAGGAAACACAGGCAATGAAGAAAACTTCTAAGAACAAATACCCCCGAGTATCCAGTATCAGGCCTGCAATGATGGAAATGATGGCCAGTCCCAGGTTCTGAATGGACTGCATGCTACAATTTCAGAAACACAAAAACACGTTTCATTTTCACAAGTCTTCACACACAGACTAACACTTCATTATCAATATCAGCATAAACCACATACTATGGGTGTTAGGAGATGTTTTCTTTCTTTTTTTTTTTTTTTTTCCTGAAAGTTTCACTCTGACACACAGGCTGGAGTACAACTTCAGCCTGCTGGGCTCAGGTGATCTTTTCACCTCAGCCTCCCAAGCAGCTGGAATTATGGGCATGCACTAACACGTACGGCTAATTTTTTTATTTATTGTAGATATAAGGTCTCACCAAGTTGCCCGGGCTGGTCTCGAACACCCAGGTTCAATCCTCTTGCCTCTGACTCTCAAAGCACTACGATAACAGGCATGAGACACTGTGCCCAGTTAGGAGATATTTTTAATCAGGAATGACTTGATTCAATTTTGTCTTTTTTGTTTTGTTTTTTTTGTTTGTTTTGGGGGAGGTGTTTTTGAGTTGGAGTCTCACTCTGTCGCCCAGGCTGGAGTGCAGTGGCATGCTCCTAGCCGCCGCAACCTCGACCTATTGGACTCAGGCAGATGTGAGTCTTTTTTGTTTTGTTTTGTTTTGTTTTTTTGAGTTGGGAGGCTCCAGTGTTGACCTGCTGGGTTCCAGCGATCCTTCCGCCTCAGCCTTCCACGTAGCCAGAACTATAGGCACGTGCTACCACACCCGGCTAATTTATTTATTTATTGCAGAGACGAGGTCTTGCCAAGTTGCCCAGGCTAGTCTCGAACCCATGGGCTCAGGCAATCCACTAGCCTCAGCCTCTCAATGTGCTGGGATTACGGGCTGAGCCACCAAGTGGATTCCCACCAATTAGTGGGAATTATGCCTATTCCCACTACTAAACCATCTGCCCAGTGGTAAGAGAGCCTGCCTCAGTAAGTGTGGTATGTACTCAATACCTTCCTGCTCAATGAAAGAGAAGGCTAGTTCACACCAGCTCTTGTGAGCTAAACCTCTTCTGGGTTAGCTCACACCAGCTCTTGCTGGAAGTTGGAGCTCTCTTGTTGCCACAACAGTATCTTCACTAGATTTACTGACTTTTGCAGTCACCTCCATGTTCAGAGTTGTCCCAGAAGCTAGATAACTAGATTCAGGAGACCTGGGGTTCTATATGATAACTAAACTGATACAGCAAAGAGAGACAAATATGATACACAGTGTAAATACTCACAAGCCATATGCAGTTCCCAGTTGATGTTCAGGAACTACAAATGCCACCATTGGCCACAATGCACAGGCAAGCAATGAGTAGGAGATTCCCAGGAGACACTGCAGAAAGCAATACAGAAAGGGATAGAAGTCGTACATTAACCACAAGGTAATTTTCCTTGGATGCAGATTAGCAAACAAAACACAGTAGCCAATAAGTGAATATTCAATAAAATTTTATGATTATTAGGCTAAAACTCATATTGAAAACATACACAAAAAATATTGGCCCTCTAAGAACATCCCATTAGTAACGAGACACACACTGTCTTAACCCTTTTCATTTGTCATCATACTATATGCATAAATTAACTGGCTGAGGCCCAGGATGCAGTTAAGAACCAAGTGGGAAAAGAAAGCTAATTTGCAAGATCGTACCAGTGTTTCAGGCAAGCTAATTTTCTAATATTTGTTAGCAGTTACAGATTAGGCAATCGAAGCAACATCATGCCAACAGTCCATCATCAGTCCATCAACATCCAATGGGAGAGTTAGAGAACCATCCTCTACCACTTGCTGAACATCACCTAAGGCCAATTTTGTCATCAATGAAAAAAGAAACTTCATGACTTAAATTTAAGTAAGTATCATTTATATCTAGCAGATTGGCAGAGATTAAAATAATGCCAATGCCCAGTACTGGCAAGGATACTGAAAAGTGGACATGTGTTTCTTATTAAAGTTGTCAATGAGTAGAAAGTTACTAGAGAAGTTTCACAGTAACTACCAAAATGCTAAATGTGCAAAGCTGCAGCTATAGCAATTCTCTTTGAGTCTGTCCTGCATCTGTAGAAACACTCTCCAAAAATTCTCACTCAGTGCTCAAATATTTATGTTCAAGACATCCCTTTATCAACAGGTAAGAAATGCAGCATTTCTGCCTCTGGTCTTAAAAATGACATTTTGAAGAACAACAAATTCATTATCACTTTTTAACCTTACTAAGAGAGTAAAAAACAAAACAGATTCTGGGCCAATAGTTTTTTGGGTTTTTTTGTTTGTTTGTCTGTTTATACCACCTAAGATGGAATGATGTCTTTTTAGTCATTTATTGCAGAAAAATAAATGGGATTAATATGTAAGTATCCTGGCTTTTATATGGGCATTTTATTTCAAATTCTAGTTTAGCATTGAGGTTAGCCTATTAAATAAGTCAAATGAAATAAAAGATGCCATATCATTAATAATTCATACTTATGCTTAAAGAATAATTATAAGGTAGAAATTGAAGTCAATTCATTGTTTCCCCACTGTCACAGGCAGTCTGCTAAGCGTGCCTTCCAACATGGCTGACAGAGTCCTCACTGAAGCCCTATCCCCCATGGGTCAACACAGACATTACCATTGCAATCCAGGGGTTCCACATCGTAAAGGCCAGCATCACGTGGGACACAAGAGTGGTCGCTACCGCACACAGAACCCAGATGATGTTCTTCCCTGTTTTATCCACCAGGAGCCCAAATATCGGGGACATGGGAGCCGATATGACATATACAACACTGCCGGAAGAAAACATAACACATTTAATGAAATTTAACACAGCCAAACATGAATATCAAGAAGTCGCTAAAAACAGTAAGCAGAGCAAATCCTAACTCATTGAATGTAACACTCTTCTAAAATGGTCCTCAGAAAATAGAAATATCAAATGCAGTCCAAGACTTCTTTGATTTCCCATTAATGCAAAGATGGCCACTCAGGATTCAAGTCCCAATACAGTTTTGGTTTCACACTGTGGATATTAGATCACACAAATCTTTTTTGTTTCTTATAACATTAGGTTACAATTAAAGACTCACACTTCACATGCAAAAGGCACTTACAGAATTAATAAAATACCTGTTAATTGCACTTGCTGCCTGGGAAGAAAATCCAAATTTCTCTGCAAAGAAAACTCTAAAATTAAAAAGATAGAAAATTGACCACATTAGAGAGAACTATTATGTTTTCAAAAAGTAAAGGCCAAATAAAGAGAAATAAAAACAACTCTTAAGTTTAATAAACTTTTCCTTCTTGATACGATTTTCCCAATATTCATCTTCAGATAAACTGCTAAAGATTCAGTATAAATATTTCCCTGACTAAATAAAATACAATGCTTGCTTTGTTTCTTTTTTTTTCTTTTATTTGAGTTGGAGTCTCACTCTGTTGCCCAGGCTGGAGTGCAATGGCACACTCACAGCCACCACAGCCTCAACCTGCTAGGCTCAGGGGATCCTTCCACCTCAGTCTTCCAAGTAGCTGGAACTACAGGCAATGGCTACCATGCCCGGCTAATTTATTTTATTTTATTTTATTTATTGTAGAGACGAGGTCTCGCCAAGTTGTCCCGGCTGGTCTCGAATCCACGGGTTCAGGCAATCCACTTGCCTCAGCCTCCCAAAGTGCTGGGATTACAGGCTGAGCCACCAAGTCCAATCTCTTTTTTTTTCCTTTTACATATACAGCAAGCAGCCTACACAAGTTTTCAGAAAACCAAATATACTAATGTAGGGACTTAAGATTACTTCTTTTCCTTAAAAGCAATACTGGATAGGTTTTTTGCTAAATAATAGAGTCCTTGTCTTAAATTATTTAAATAACAGCCTGAACTTAAAGATATAAGGATACACCCCCACAAACTTACTTGCACATTACTGTTTAAGAAGCTGCTAAGGAAAAAGGAGAGAGAAGTAGATAATAAAGCAAAGAAGAATTTGCTCAGAACCCTGAATTTAAGTCTGGTAGAATGACAGTCCTAGCAAATGGAGGTTTGCCCAGTCACCGATACAGTTTCCATTCTCAGTAAGAGTCTTACTAATTCAAGAAATAAAGAGGAAACAAGGCTGGGCACAGTGGTTCCTGCCTGTAATTCCAACACTTTGGGGGCCAAGATGGAAGGATTGCTTGAGCCCAGGAGTCTGAGACTAGCCTAGGCAACACACAAGACATGTCTCTACAAAAAACCAAAAAATTAGCCGGGCATGGTGGCACATACCTGTAGTCCCAACTGCTCAGGAAGCTGAGACGAAAGGCTTGCCTGAGTCCAGAAGTTTAAGGATACAGTGAGCTATGATCGTGCTACTACCACACTCCAGCCTGGGCAACATAGTGAAACCCCAACTCTTCAAAAAAAAAAAAAGTGGAAATAAAAATAATACTAGTCTAAAATATATCAATATTATAAATCAAAACCTATTATTAGGTATTTCTTCAAAAGAATTAAAACAGCATAAAATCAATACTGAACCTTCAACTAAGAAAATAATTTGTATCCCAGTATTCAAAGCAATTCCTGGGGGGGGGGGGACTATAACCAGAGAAGAAAGATTCACTACTAAAATATATGTGTGTATATATATGCATACATGTACATATATTTATGTAGATATACATATATGTGCATATGTGTGTACATATATGCATACATGTGCATATATATGTATATACGTACATACACAAGTAAATATATGTGTGTGTGTATATATATTTTTTCTTTCTTTCTTTTTTTTTTTAGAGATGGGGTCTCTATATATTGCCCAAGCTGATCTCAAACTCCTGACCTCAAGTAATCCTCCCACCAGTCTCTCAAAACTTGGAAATCACAGGCGTGCACCATCATGCCTGGCCTAAAAAACTACACTTCTGTGATTTAACATTCATTGTAATTTAGCCAAGAGAAACGAAAAGCTAAAGAATACTCACTTCCCGAGCCCAATAAAAGGGAACACAGCAACATAATAGCAGACACAGATGATAAATATGAGCCACAGGGGTAAGGAGAAGTCCTTGACGTCAGTCAGTTTAATAACTTCACCTTGAGAGGAAAGGGAAGACAGTATCAGCATAATTTTGCCTACCTAAGGAGCGTTCATCTATAGTCAAGATTTTTTTTAAAGCATGAGATTAACCTTTATAATTTAGTTTTTTAAATACTTCTATAGTAAATTACACAAACATCATTTCTGGGATAATTTACAAAGATATAAGAAAAAGCAGAACTTTAGATTAGCTTCTGCTCCCTTTCAGGAATAATCATCATTTTGGCTACATACAAAGTACAATTGAGAATGTAAACCCTGCCAAAACATTTAAGGGGGAAAAAATATATCCAAAAATTTAGAAAAATTGAAATAGAATTGAAAATAAAAAATAAAACACATGTATCAAGCCCCACTAGGTTTATACACTGCATTAGAAACTTGTATCACTGAAAATTCTCTCACGAAGGTCACAATTCCCCAAAGGCCCACTCTTCCTCCATTTAGACTTGCCTGTTTTCCCCTGTTCTTTGTGAAGGATTCTCTCTGCTCTCTGATCCAAGTAAGCAAGGGCCAAGGCACAGATCAGTGAAAGAATACACGTTATACCCCCTACATTTAAAAAAGAAACCAAGAGATTTTTAGAAAAGGGCCAGACTGAAGATTTCTAAAAGACAGTACATTATGTAAACAGCAGAAAATGTAGCCACTGAAAGGGGTGGCCTCTAAAGACACAAGGAAACCACCAATTACTTAATTAGGCCAGAAAAGAGGAAAACAGTAGTTGCTTTTACTCTATCATTTCCCAGTAGAAGAGTGGGGATTAGAAGGAAGACTAGAACTAGTCTAGTCCTGTAATACAGAACACAGACTGAGGAAACCGGATGACCAGTTAGTAAGTTAGTCCTGATTTCTTAATTGCGTCTGAGCACCAATTGTCAATGGATGCCAGTAGACACATGACAAAAGCCATGTCTGGTTTCATGACCACGTCTCTTTCTTCTGATGCCTTCCCAATATCTGCAGCCTTTGCTCCTACCCTCCAGCAGCTCAAAGGGTCCCTTTTTCCTAAAGCACAGCTAGCTCAGGCTCTGTCCTATGAGTGCACTATTTCTCCCTAGTGCTGATCTCAAATCATTATAGAAGATCAAGATAGAGAAGGAATGAAGTTTACACTTCTTAAGAAGAATTTCCAGGAGAAGCTTAATGAAATAAATGAATCTTTAAATGGCTGACATACTATGGTCCAGCTGAAACATAGCTGAAATGAGAGTCAGCAGACATGGGTTAGTTCTACTGCTGGCACTAACAGGCCGAATGATCCTGGACATGGAGCTTAACCTCTCTGGGATTCTATCACCCACCTGTAAAATAAGAGGCTTTAATCTGATGATGACACAGGTCTTTTCTGGCTCTAACAGTCTCAAAATTCTAAAACTCTCCATTGTGGAGGAAATTACTCGGGATGCTGAAGAGCACTGGAGAGTAAAAACAAGGTCTTAAGTAAGGCAAAGGATTTGGGAGACAAAATTTGGAAGAAAGGAAGAGTCTTTAGATATGCTTGCCTGTTTAGGATTCCTTCTCTGCTGCCCTCTTTTTAACAGGCTATATGTCCAAGGCATTATAAGGAATAAAAGATGTGCAGAGTTTGGGCACATCCTACAGGACTCTCTAAGCCCTGCAAACAGCCATACACACCCCATGGGCCTCAGTCAGGCAATGCTACTGCCCAGAGATGAAGTACAAGAAGTGAATCCAGAGGGCTTTGTACACTTCTCAGTAACCCACCTAGCAACTAGCACCACAGAGCCTTGGCTAAGAGAACTTGGGGACAGTGGGGACACCTGCAATTTTACAAAAAAGAAAACTGAGACACAGAAGGTTAACTCCTTGTCCAAGATTACAGAACTAGTTAGAGCCAGCATTAGAATCCAGTCTCCACACTCTCAACTTAGTGGATTTTTAATGATAGCCTCTCACATCTGACTTCCATAAAAGCTAAGCTATCAGCCGGACACATCACTTACACCTGTTATCCCAGCACTTTGGGAGGTTAAGGCAGGAGAACCACTCGAGCCCAGGAATTCAACACCGGCCTGAGCAACGTGACGAGACCTCATCTCTACAACAAAACTTAAAAAAATTAGCCAGGTGTGATGGCACATGCCTATAGTCCCAGGTATTCAGAAAGCTGAGGCAGAAGGATCGCCTGAGCCAAGGAGGTCGAGGCTGCAGTGAGCCATGATCTTACCACTGCACTCCTGCCTAGGCAACAGAGTGAGACTATGACTAAAAAAACAAACAAAAATAAAATAAAAAGAAACACTAAGCTCTCTAGGCATACTGACTGAATTGGATCAACAGGAAACAATTCTTCCTTTGGCTACAGATGATTAATTAAAACTTTCCTCATTGTTCTCAAAGAGTTTTCACAAACACTATCTCTTTGTGTGTATAAAATGCAAATAACAACCTGAAGTAGACAAAAGGAATAAGATCTTCCACTTTAAGAGAATGGAAATTAAAACACAGGTTAAATAATAGGCTACTTCCAGTTTGAGCAAAGAACTGTGGAGGCAAAACCAAAACCCAAGTGGTCCAACACCAATTCCAGGATCCCTTCCTCCCTGCTGCAATATTCCTGTGACAAGCTTCCAGAAGCAACAAATGGGACATCAGGATTCACTCACCAATCATAAGTGTGACCCCAAGGGTTGTGTGACCAGCAGAGCCCAACGAACCTTCGATCTTAGCATACAACCATCCCATGAGGTTCATGTTCACTGTACTCCCCTAAATGAGGAGGAAAAAAATCAACAAAATATTCAGTTATTTATACTTCTTCCTTGTTCAAAAAAAGGGAGAGTCACTGTACTCTAGCCTAGGCAATAGAGTGAGACTCTGACTCAAAAAAAAGAAAACCTAATAAACTAAGATAAAGTCACAGATAAGGTTACTAAACTTAAAAAAAAAAGCCTGCTTATTAGAAAATGTTAGTATTCAAAATAATATAGTACATTCAGAAATTTCTAGCAGCCAAAAAAAAATGAAACACAGGTTACAAAATTCACAGAGTATCTAAGACAAAAACATACTACTAGCTTAACAAAAAGCATAGCTTTTCCTGGTACTGAAATCTGGGAGAAAAAAAAAAGAAATTCTTCCTCTGAATGTCCATAAAGAAGATGGCAAAAGTTAGAGTAGATGATATCCTCATTCATTCATTCACTCAACAATTACTGATTACCTTATTACATGCCACTCACTGTTTCAGGTGTTGAAAATGCAATAAAGAACAAAACAGAAAATATCCAACTTTCATAAAACTTACATTTTGGTGGGGTAAAAAATTAAATATGTAGTATATTAAGTAGTGACAAGTGTTTTTTTAAAAATAATGAAAAAATAAAGCAGAGAAGGAGAATATAAAATTGGAAGTGAAGGACTCATGGAGAAAGCAACTTTGGAGTAAAACTTTGAAGAGACAAGCAGTAGAGTTACCTGGGGGAAGGGCATTCCAGGCAGAAGGAACAACCAGTGCACAGGCCCTGAGAGGAAGTGCCTGAAAGGTTCCAGGAATGGTGGGAAGGGCAGAGGCTGGAGCAGCGTAAAGAGTGGAAAGAGGCTGGGCATGGTAGCTCACACCTGTAATCCCAGCACCTTGGGAGGCTGAGGTAGGACTGCTTGAGACCAGGAGTTCGAGACCTGGGTCACATAGACCTTGTCTCTACAAAAAGATAAAAAATTTAACTGGGCATGGTGACACATACCCACAGTCCCGGCTACCAGGAGGCTGAGCCCAGAAGTTCAAGGCTGTGGTAAGCCATGACTGTGTCACCGTACTATAGTCTAAGTGACAGAGTGAGACCCTGGAGTCAAAAAAAAAAAAAAATAGGTGGGGAGAAGATCAGATGAGGTCTGAGAGAGGATATGGTGGGTGAGAGGCTACGGGTGATGACAGGACTTTGGGATTTTATTCTGTATGAGACGGGAAGCTACTAGGGTTTTGAGTAGAAATGAAGCATGATCCACTTACATGTTGACAGACTTACTCTGGTTTCTATTTTCAAAACAGACTGCAGATGGGAGAGCAGAGGGAGGCAGACGCAAGAGCACCAGATGGGGAGCTACAGCAATAGACCAGGACAGAGATGACAGGCCAGACCCAGGGTGGTTAGCAGTAGGCATGGCAGGAAGTGGTCAGAATATGTGCATCCTTGCACACAAGCTGCCCTATATTTCTAGAAGGAAATCTCAGGGACATCTAAGAGGCAGGATGGGGTCATGAAAGTGGGGGAATGACTGAAAGAATTGGAGTGAGTGAGACCTCAGGAAGCCACCTTGGCTTTTCCAGGATGCTTCACTTTGATCTGATTTCTGTATTCAGAGTCCTCGTAAGACATCATGAGACAAAAGGATTTTTTGATGAAAACATTCAAGAACTGTTCTGTAGCCGGGCTCAGTGGCTCAGCCTATAATCCCGCACCTTTGGGAGGCTGAGGTGAGTGGATTGCCTGAGCCCGCAGGTTCAAGACCCACCTAGGCGGCAAGACCTCATCTCTACAATAAATAAATAAAAAAATCAGCCAGGCATGGTAGCGCATGCCTGTAATTCCGGCTACTTGGAAGGCTGAGGAGGAAGAATCGCCGGAGCCCAGCAGGTCGAGGCTGTGGTGGCCGGGAGCGGTCACTGCACTCCAGTCTGGGCAACAGAGTGAGACTCCAACTCAAAAAAAAAAAGAACTGTTCCGTGACAGACTTGCTAGAGGTGATGCAGCTTCAGTTTTTTTGTTCCCCATGCATCCTCCAGAATGACCACAGAGGTTCTCGGTTTACCACTTCACGATCCTTCCGTGGCCTGCATGGGGAGTCGGACTGAGTCTAGACATTTGAACTGTTGCCATACGACATATGGCGTGTATCTCCAGGAAGGGGATTTTCATTTTCCTTATTCATATCTTAGCTGATGGTTGGAATCCCAGCACGCTTTTGATTTTCCTTTGCAATCTGTTTCTTTTAAGCTCATTATTTCAATAAATATTTATCTTCTGAGTACTTACTAAGCCAGGTCATGTTCAATGTGTTAGAATTAGAGAATTATTAAGGCAACATTCCATTTTTGAGGAGCTTATACTTTCGATGGTATTGGAGAAAGATCCTGTAGGTCTCCATTTACCTTGCTGCTCATTTGACTAACGCCACTAACATTTTGTAAGGAAAAAAACCGCGTGAACTTTGTGACTGCATTTTTTGTGAGAGTATCATTGTGGACATGTTCATTTTTCAGTCTTCAGTAGTATCTGACCTCTCACTAGCATTTAACACAATTGACGTTGCCCCTCCCTGATTTCTTTCTGTGGTTTCCAGGATACTACAGCCATGTTGCTTCCCTCTTGTCTTTCCATATGCCCCAAGGAAGCTCTTGTTGGCTCCATCTCAATGGTCTTGACCTGCAAATGTGGGAGTCTCCAGGGTTGGGCCCCTGGACATCTTCTCTCTTCTTCAACACTCACAGCCTTGTAACCTTAGCTTTGCAACTTTAAGTAACATTTTCCTTGCTGCTGAACTTCCTGAATTCCATACATATACACGCAACTGCTTACTTGGCATTCACACCTGGATGGCTTGTAGGGTTGTCAAACCTGACATGCCCAAAACCCAGTTGCCCATAACTGAGGACAATAAAACTATAGCAGGAGTTGGTTGGGGGATGGCAGGCAGAATACCAAGGCCTGGGTTATAGTTTACAGTTGCTCCGCCAAAAACTTCAGTGTCATCCTGAGCTCCTCCTGCACTCCACATATGACCCATAGCAAATCCTATAGCTCTATCATCAAAAGAATATGTAGATAGACAGACAGACAGATGAGAGAGGAAAGAAAGAGGGAGGGAGAGCAAGATGAAGGGAAAGAGGTAGGAAGGGCAGGAGGGAGGGACAAACAAATAAACAAAGGGCTCCTCAAAATGCAGTTTAATGAATTGTAACTAAGTGATGATGACACAGGAAAAAATCTTATGTCATTAACAACTAGAATGGAGGCAGCTGAGTCTTGCTTAACTGATCTCACTTCCCTCTTTAAGAAGTTAGGTAACTAGATCTTCAAACTGCCAGACTTATCTTGACTTGCACAAGACTTGCAATGAAATCTCTTGGAATATTCTTGTAGATATAATTTAGAAAACATGGGAAATCATACTTTTTTTTTTTTTTTTTTTT